ATTTTTTTGATTTTATCTGTTGATTAGGGCCGGAGGAAAGTATTGTTGGGTTGGTTTCCTACCTGCGTTTTCCCTCCCACCCACCCCTTTGCATGCATTTCCGGGTTGGTACATGACAAGTCAGCAACAGTGACACGTCAGCAGGCTACGTCAACAGTGACACGTCAGCAGGCTACGTCAACAGTGACACGTCAGCAGTGCCACATCAGACACAGTGACATGTCAGCAGGCCACATCAACAGTGACTCGTCAGCAGTGCCATGTCAGACACAGTGACACGTCAGCTACAGTGACACGTGAGCAGGCCACGTCAACAGTGACACGTCAGCTACAGTGCCACGTCAGCAGTGCCACGACAGACACAGTGCCACGTAAGCAGTGCCATGTCAGACACATTGCCACGTCAGACACAGTGCCTCGTCAACAGTGCCACGTCAGCAACATGACGGGCCTGCCAGGCCAACTGGCCAATGAGCCCATTGCCGACTACAAAAAGCGCTTCCAGGCTCAGCTCGCTGTCATCGAGGCTGAGGAACAACGCCAGCTGGCGGCCAAGGCTGCCCAGCTACAGGCTGAAGAAGCGGCAACAGCAGAGAAGCTGCAGCTACAGGCCGAAGCAGACGCATATGCCCAGGCTCGCCGCAAGGAAGCCCAGGATCTGCTGCAGCGGCATGAAGCCACAAGCATCGAAAACTCAAGTTCTGGCACTTTGAACCAAACGGCGAAGACGGAACACCGGAAGAGCAGCATAAGGAGTTCCTCTCCAAACTCGTGACACGGTTGTTGTATGCTTGCAACTACCACGGTCCGAGTTGGAGAGACAGAACCAGGAACTGCAGCAACAGTACAAGGATCTGAAGACGCAGCACCGCGAGTTGGCGAACCTCCGCCGGATGGTGCAGAGTCACGAGGATGCAACACGGGCACTCAATTCCCGTGTACTGGACCTGGAACAGGCTGTACCAGGACCAGATGCTGGGGCTTCCAGCAGTGCACCCTCTAGCCGCCAACTGGAGGAACGCGTTGACCACGTAGTGGCAATGCTGGGCGACATCTGCACCTTCGCGGCGCCAACCACCATCAGCAGCCAGCTGGACACGTTGAAGACCGAGGTCCAGCAACTGCAGCCGACGAACACGGATGGCAATCCCAAGCAATACAAGATGCCAACCTTCCAACTGGAGAAGTTCGACGACTACACACATCAGGATGCGGTCCTCTGGTGGGAAGCTTTCACGACGCAACTGCGGATTCTGCCTGTCGCCAAGCACGCATACATCGGCGCCCTGTTCATGAACTCAAAGGGCGGATGCCAGATCTGGTTGACTCACCTGGCAGCCACCCACAGCGTCGACGTCGCCGATCTGAAGGACAAGATCACATGGGAAGAGTTAACACGGCTGTGGAAGAAGCGGTTCATCGTCGACGACGCGCCAGCACTAGCCATCAACCGTCTCTTCACCATGTCTCAGGGCAACACAGCAACACGTGACTGGCTCACGGAATGGCAGAAGATCGCGGCATTACCCGATCTGGACTTACCATTCACGCATCTACGCCCTGAGTTCTATAACAGGTCATGCGCTGCGTTGAGCCAGGCACTTGGTGATCGCGAGCACTATGCATCTTTCCCCGAGATCATTGACAAGGAAAGAGAGATCATCAAGACCAACAGAGCGGCTGCACACGAGAAGTCCACGTGGCAGCCAACCTATGTGGAGAAGGTAAGAACTGGTCCGCGACAGCAGCAGTTCGCTGCAGTCCAATCGGACAGTGGAGAAGACCCAGCAGCCACTCCAGCATCACGTGAGGCCCGGTGAGGGAGATCAGGTGGCTGCTGTCCAGCCGCGAACCAACAAGCCTCAAGTGAACGAGAAGACGAAACCAGCATCGCAGGCCGAAAACGGACAGCCAGCACCACCATGGGTCAAGTTCGGCTTGACCGAGGCCGCGTACAAGTACCGCAACCATTACGACTGACAGCACCAAGCACAAGACCTCCATTTGCCAGGATCAGGCCAAGGAGGATGTGCGGCGTCGTCTTAACTCGGGAAACTTAGTTGCGCAGGAGGTGAGGCGACTCCACCTCTCACTCCGCCAGATTCGGCCGCCTTGCTAGCGGCCTCCTACACATCTGGGGAGGATGCGCATGT